TAAAGGAATTATAAATATTAAAATTTCTCATATGTATCTAAATGTGTATGTATATATATAAATTAGTTGAAATTAAAAGATTCTTATACTTAAATTTCTCAAAAATAATATGTTTTTTTTTAATATATATTGTTTTACACTTTTTTTTATGTATTAATTTGTTAATTTTATGTTAAAAATTTTGTTATAATGATTTATTATTATTTTATATTATCCTATCTACTTAATTATATTTAGCCTTAGCTTTATTAATGTATTATTTTTTTAATCTACATATCTATACATGTTATTTTAAAAAAAAAAAAAAAAAAAAATGAAATAAATAACATAATGAAATATACTTGGTCATATTAAAAAAAAAAAAAAAAAAGTTAATTTATAAAAAATAAATAAATATTATTTTTTTTTAAAAATCATAAAATGGTAAAAGGACTTAAATAGGATAACTAAAAAATATATTGTAAAATAGAAAAAAATATTTAATTACACTATATTTTTTACATATCATAATTCTTATTTTATTTTATTTCAATTATATATGAAATTTATACAATATATTATTAATTCATTATTAGTTGATATTAATACTTTTAATGTGAATTAAAATACATATATTCATATACATGTTTTTTTTTTTTTTTTTTTTTTTTTTTTTTAAAACTGTGAGAAGTGATGAGTATTATACATTGGAAAAGAGTACTTCCATTAAGGATATATGGCAAATATAGTTCCAAAATAAATTAATAATACTTTCAAGATTGAATGCTTAAAAAACAAGAAAATTTGCAGTTCCATATCATGATATATGTATATACATACATATTATGTATATATATGTTTTGTAAAAGAAAAAAAAAAAAAACATTTTTCTCTGTCTTTGTAGGAAATGTCAAATAGATTTATAATATCTGCATTTTTTTTTCCGTACTTTATTTCCACTAAATTGATTATTTTAAATTCCATTATTTTAATTCATATTAGATGATTGGATACTCCTTTTGAATACAAAACAATATCGTGTACACTCACTGTAAAATCAACAAGAAGTTCCATACTGTGGACAGGGTTCTGGCTGAATCATTTTATGTCTCATCTCTCTTTCTTCATACGTACCACTCCATGATGCTATACCATGACACTGGTACAACCTCAGAGATGAGGAAAGCATAATAATATTAAAGCAAGCACAATATGTAGCAGTAAAAAAAAGGGGATCTTGAAAAAATGCTGAAGACTTAAAATGGCCACATGAATTGAATAAATATACCTATTTAAGTTGCATTATTTTTTATTCATATCTTTCACATATAATAACTTTTTTTTTTTTTTTTTTTTTTTTTTTTTTTCTTTAATTATACTATGTTTTATTTTATTTTCATCCCATCACATTTTTTTTTTTTTATTTTTTATTGTGCTTAATATCATTTTAATTCATCATATTTTTTTTTTTTTTATTTTACATAAATTATTCATATTTCATGGAAATCTAAGCGAGCAAAAGTTTCTTCTTATTTTTATAATGTATATTAAATTATACATTTGATTACATTCACTTCTACACATAATTTTTTTTTTCCCCTATTTGTTAGAAGTTAAATTTTAATATATATTTTTTTTATTCTATAAATACTTTTATTCATATAGAAAAGGTAATTTTTTTTCCTTAAAATATTATGAACATTTGCATTATTTAAAAAAAAAAAATTATAATTCTATATTTTTTTTTTTTTCTATTTAATTAAATTATTTTATGTAATTATAAAATGACTAAATAGAGACACATTAACACTTTTTATTTTACGTGATAAGTTTTTTCTAAAAAAAAAAAAAAAAAAAAAAAAAAAAAAATTTTTTTTTTTTTTAATTTGTTTTTTCAATACTATAGAAAAGTCATCAAACACCCAATTAATAAACCATAATATCAACCTAATAATATAAATATATAAAAATAACAAAAATTATAAAAAATTTTAAATAATTATTAAATTTTTAATAATTAAAATTTATAAATATAATTATAAATATTCATAAAAAAATATGTTTCATCTTTAATATTCCCATAAAAAAATAATCAACCCTTATAAAAATCTAATAAAATACTAATAAAAATAAAATAAATTTACTTTTCTCACGGATTTTTTAAGTAAATTATCTATTGTAATTTATCTTGTAAGAGTACAAATATATAAAAAAAAAAAAAAATTGAATAAAATAATAAATTTTATTTTTTTTTATTTTTTTTTTTTATAAAGAAAAATCATTCAGTCTCTTGAATTCGACTCATATTTTCAATCATTTTTTTTTTTTCGATATAAATATCTTTTTTCTAAAAAATTTTTATTTGTAAACTATTGTTATTTTAATCTTCTAAAAAGATTATGAGAAATATTTGTAAAAAAAATAACCAAAAAATAATTTATGTTTCTTTTTGTTTATAATAAAAAATCCTAAAATAATAAAAAATATTTCCTTAAATAATGTTCGATATATATATATATATATATATATTACGAAATTAAAATTAATAAAAAAATAAATAGTTTAATATAATTTTAACGAAAAAAATAAAGTGCATTACCAACTGACATAAACTGATTTTTTTTTTTTTTTTTTTTAGTACATATATTTCTATACAAATAAAACTAAATTATAATGCACTTATTTATCACTAAAAATTTAAATATTAAATTAAAGAAAATTAAAGTAATTTGATCAGTGTTTAAAATTTAATAATTTAGCAACAAATAATGTAGCTTTTCATAATTGTAAATATTTCTTCTATTAAACATAATATAATTTATTTATTAAAATATATATAATTAGCTAATATAGTATATTGTAGTTGCTGATTTTAGAATTTACATATATATATTTTATTTCTTTTTTTATTATTTATTTTATATTTTATGAAAGTATCAATTAGATCTTTTAAAAACATAATTATAAATTATTAGGTACATTATTTTATTTATATATAAATTCCGTATACTACTTATAAAATTTTACTTCTTCAACTGTTCAAATTTCATTTTCAAAAAAATTTTGTATAAAAATATTATATAATAATTAAATTATTTATTCAAAATATCAAAGTTAAATAATTGTATCATTATTTAAAACTTATATTCATATTCATATAATTATATAAAAAATTTAAGAAAATTAATACAAAATCCTTAACATTATTTCTTTTTTTCATATAAATTTCAAGTATAATATAATTCTTTACTTTAACTATTGTTTTCTTTTTTTTTTTTTCTTAATGTTAATCTTATAAATTAAGTTTTTATTTTATTTATCACAATTTTTCATTTTTTTTAAAGATTAATTACATCATTACTATATGAAAATTACAATAATTTAATATTTTACATAAATAGCATATGAAAAATTTCTTCTGCTCCTAATTGTTATTTTATATTACATAAAATAACATTTTCACATATAAACAAATTTATGATATACTTATTACATAAGTACAAGTGTTCTCATTTCTACATACAAATTATAACAATTTCCTAATGTGATTTAATTATTCATGGTACTGCAAAATAACAAAAATAGTAGTATTCAATTTTTTAGTCAAATTATATTATTTTTCTTTAATTGGATTATTGAATACCTTTTTAATGTATGATAAAATTTAAATGTAAAATAAATGTATATAATATATAATACTTTTTTCTCTTCCTCAAATTTTGCTTTTATATATTATAAATATAAAAATTTATTTTTTTTAATAAATCAATTTTTAAATATTATTACAGAATATTTTAAGAAAACCTTGTTGTGAAACAACAGCCATGAAAAAAAAGTCAACCTCAAAAAATGCAAGATTATTATCACAATTAGAAGAAATTTCCTGCATGTTAAATCAAAAAAATGCTACAATAGAAAGCAAAGCTAATTTAACTAATGATACAATTAAGCTCAATACAGAAATTCAATCATTTATGAATGATACTCGTAATGAACTTCAATTTTATCTTGAAGACAATAATATTAAGAATGACACAGAAAAATGTCAAAAGGCATCCTCATACATAAATTGGAGAGGAATGGACTATGTTAATTTGCTATTAAATGAAAAAGAAAATTATAATATCTCCTGTGTTGTTGAAAAATGGAATGAGAAACAAAAATCTTTTGAAACAAGTATAGATGAAAAAACAAAATCAACGTGTAATGCAACAACTTTCAATTATTGTTCTCTTTTGAATAAAAATAATAACTGCATGAGACCTTATGAAAATAATGATCTACCAGTATCAACATCATTAACATACGAACAACTCAATGATGATACTTATAGTACTAATAAAAATCAAATTATTGATGATAGATGGGGTAAGTTTAACAATATTACAAGTGATATATCTCATTACTATTACAGAATGTATGAAAATAACAATTCTACACTTAATTGTGGAAAGTGGAGTATGTATATATATAAGAGAGGAAAACAATTTATTAAAATGGCGGCCAATGAATTATATGAAGATGCAATATATGTAAATGATACTATTAGAAGATGGAATGAACATAGTAATCAATTACAAACTACTGTATTAGAAGAAACTGGTAATAAATGTAATATGACAACATTTATTTATCAATTTAAAGAGCAAGAAAATTCAAATAATCCATATGATTTATCTTGGCTTATTTCAAAAAAGAATCACAATCAACCTAATGAAACTGCATATAATACAACTCCATTACCACATAACTTACAACCTACAACTGTAACTCCTAATGTATTGCATAATGATACTACTACAGGTTCATTGGATAACAATACGACTAGTGTTAATAACGTAAATGGTAACAGTTCCTCTGAAAATACATTAACAAGCGACACACCAGAGACACCAGTGTCTATAGATCAAATTGAGCCAGAAACTGAAAGCACAAATTCTCCAGAAAACTCAACACAATCCAATTCTTTAACTCCGAATGGTACAATACATTCTAATACTAATACTATAACTGACACAACCTCATCTTCGCCATCCCCTGAGATTGTAATATCTCCTACAACTAAAACATTATCTTCAAATTCTACTGCAAGTAGTGGCACACCTACAGTTACACCTTTATCTGGAGAAATATCTGCTACAACATCCAATGAATATTCTAATACTACTATGAAGTCATTTACAAGTAATATTACACCTTCTACTACTACAACTCCGCCACCTACAACTGCATCTTTACCTTCTTCTAAGACTGTAATTTCTTCTATATCTAAACCATCACCTTCAGACTCTCCTACAAGTAGTAGTTCATCTGAAATTACATCTTTCTCTGAAAATAGGTCTCCTACAAATATATCTATACCTTCTACTAATAAAACTGTGTCTCCTACAACTAAACCTTTATTTTCACATTCTCCTACAAGTAGTGATGCATCTACAGTTACACATTTTCCTGTTAACGAGTCTTCTAAAAATATAACTGCATCTTCTACAGTTAGCACTACATATTCTACCACTATCGTTGAGTCAATGGAAAATAATATTACACATTCTACAACATACACTAAATCTCCTGAAACTTCATCTTCACCTTCTGAAACTGTAACTTCTGTATATAATACATCTACAAATACCATTGAACCTTCTACAAACAGAATTGCATCTTCTGCAACTAACACTACATCTCCTACTTCTGATATTATATCTCCAACTCCACCTTCGTATTCTCTTGATAATACATCTATTCTCACAAATACGACCGCTTTTTTTCCTACAACAAATAACAATTTACCCTCAAATCAGACAGATAGTATCCAACCGCAGAACCTACAAAATACACATGCCCCTCTTAAACAGGTTCAACAACATATACTCGAAAATAATACTGGAAATGTTTCACTAAGTTCAAATACGACTGTTTCAAATAATTTTTTGACTCCATCCCCATCAAATAATCCTACCTATGTTATGCCTACAGTTACACCTAAAAGTAATTTATTAATACCAATGGTTTCAGGAGGTATTTTTCTTTTAGGAATTATTTTTCTTTTGATTCTTCTTTGTAAAGTATGATTAAATTAACATTTAAAAATGAAAAAACGTATATATTTAAAATCATAATTACATTAATGAAGAATTTTTATAATTTTTTATTTTTTAATTTGAATTATAGTATACTCCCATTGGATCTTGGCTTCGTAACAGGAAGTCAAAAAAAAAAAAAGCAAGAAAAAAGATTAAGAAAATAACAAGGGAACCGTTGCTAATGGATACAAAAAATACAACGAATGAACCAATAAATAGTGAAAATTATTCCTTCTTACACCATGAAAAAGAAATATCACTATGTGATATGAGTTTGAAAAATCGAAAAGATTTGAAGTATAAACATGTAAAGAAATCCAAAGCACCTAAAGGAATGTATATGGAAAATGAAAAATATTTGAAGTATGAACATATGAAGAAATCCAAACCTCATGAAGGAATGCATATGGAAAATGAAAATAAGTGCATTCGTGAAGCTGTAGAAGTATCAAAGAAGCATGAAAATGAATTTATATTGAGAGAAAAATTAAATGAAGATAATCCTAGAAATGAAATTAAAGATGAATTAACTAAAAATAGATTAGAAGAAAATCCTGTTCATGTTGTACGGTATATTAGGAAAGATACATTAAATGAGGAAAAAGCAAATGAAATAAATTTGCAAAAAGAAAAATCTACATGTGAAATTGAAATGAAAAATTTAGGAAATAAAACGTCAATCAAGAATGATGTATGTAATTGGAATTCATGGTTAAATATACATATGAATGCATTACTAGAATATAAAAAAGAGGAATGGAAATTGAATAAAACCGAATTTTTTGATATTTGTTTAGAAGAGATCCAAAAATATGGAGAAAATTCTAATTTAAAAGATATGGGAAATAATTTTGTAATGAAAATAAATGAAGAAAATAGTACCGATAGAATAGATAAAAATAGTAGTATA